GTTAGCTCACTGGGTGAGTGTGATGCTGACAACACCAAGCCAAGGGTTAAGATCCCCTTACCAGTCATCTTAAAAAAAAAAAAAAAAAAGTACTCAACATCACTAATCATCTGGGAAATGCAAATCAAAACCACAATTAGATGTTACCTTGCACCCTTTAGAATCCAAGAGACAGAAGAAAAGTGTTGACAGTGATGTAGAGAAGAGCGAACTCTTACACACTGTTGGAAGGAATGCAAATTGGTACAGCCACTATGGAAAACAGTATGGTGGTTCCTTGAAAAATTAAAAATAGAAATGCCATATGACCCAGCAATCCCACTGCTGGGTATTTATCTAAAGGAAATGAAATTAGGTTGTCAAAGAGATATTTGTACTCCCATGTTCATTGCAGCCTTATTCACAATAGCCAAGAGGTGGAAGAAACTTAAGTGTCCATTGAAGGATGAATGGATAAGGAAAAGGTGATATACATAAAATGGAATATTATTCAGCCTAAAAAGGAAGGAAATGCTCTCATTTGTGACAACATGGATGAACCTGGAGGGCATTATGCTAGCCAGGCACAGGAAGACAAAGATTGCATTATCTCAGTCATATGTGGAATCTAAGAAAGTTGAACTTCATCAAAATAGAGTAGAATGGTAGTTGTCAGGGGCTGGGGGAAATGGGGAGATGCTGGTCAGTTATTATTATATTATGTATTATAATACAGCTATTTCGGTTATACAGAATGAGTAGGCTCTGGAGATCTTATATATAGCATGGTGAGTACAGTTAATACTGTATTATATACTTGAAATTTGCTAAAAGCGATGGATATGTTACTTAGCTTGATGTGGTAATCATTTCACAATGTATAGTCATGCTGTATACCATAGATATATACAATTTTTATTTATCAGTTATACCTCAATAAAGCCCAATAAAGTTATATCTCAATAATTTAAAAATAACACCAAGGTCAAGTTTCAGATCTCTGCACTGGCCAACTGCCAAAACAAAATGAAAGTAAACAAATAAACAAAATTTTTCACCAAATTTTTTTTTAAACCCTACACAATTTTAAAAACAGCAAAATCTTTGAACAGAAACTTTACCAGAAAAGATCTATGATTTGCAAATAAACACATGAAAGGAAGCTCAATATCATTAAACACTGGGGAAATGCAAATTAAAACCACAATGAGATACTACCACACACCTATTAGAACGGCTAAAATTAAAGAAAAAATAAAACTGTCTATGCAAACTTTTGGTGGGGATGCAGACAAAGCGGAACTCTCACACACTGCTGGTAGAAACGTAAAATGGTACAACCACTATCGAAAACCATTCGACAGTTTCTTGAAAAGTTAACATACACTTACCATGTGATCCAGCCTTTCTATTCCTAGGTATTTTCACAAGAGAAAAGGATGTACATTTCCACTTAAAGACATATATGTGAATGTTCACAGCAGCTTGATTTGTAATAGTCAAAACCTGAAAACAACCCAAATGTCTATGTACAGGTGAATGGATAAACAAATCGTGGTGCACCCCACATAATGCACCACTGCTCAGCAAGAAAAAGAAAGGAATTACTGATCCACACAACGACACAGATTAATCTCAAAGTAATTATGCTGACTTAAAGTCAGGCCTCCCCATACAAATTGTACAGTAGAACAAATGGTTCCATTTCTATAAAACTTTAGAAAATCCAAGGACTGGCCCGTGGCTCACTCGGGAGAGTGCGGTGCTGATAACACCAAGGCCATGGGTTCGGATCCTATATAGGGATGGCCGGTTCGCTCACTGGCTGAGTGGGGTGCTGACAACACTCACTCGGGAGAGTGCGGTGCTGATAACACCAAGGCCATGGGTTCGGATCCTATATAGGGATGGCCGGTTCGCTCACTGGCTGAGTGGGGTGCTGACAACACAAATGGTTCCATTTCTATAAAACTTTAGAAAATCCAAGGACTGGCCCGTGCCTCACTCGGGAGAGTGCGGTGCTGATAACACCAAGGCCATGGGTTCGGATCCTATATAGGGATGGCCGGTTCGCTCACTGGCTGAGTGTGGTGCTGACAACACCAAGCCCGAGGGTTAAGATCCCCTTACCGGTCATCTTTAAAAAAAAAACAAAAAAAATTTTAGAAAATCCAAACTAAGGCACAGTGATAGCAGATCAGTGGTTGTCTGGGGAGGGGCGGAATGGAGAGCCCCAAACTTTTGGGGTGGACATATTCATTCTTTTTATTGTGGTTATAGGTTTACAGCAATATCCATATATCAAAACTTATCAAACTGTACACCTTAAATATATGCAGTTTATTCATGGTATATCAATTTTTCCTCAATAAAGTCTAAGAAAAAAAGAAAGAAACCGAGGGTCAATAATCTGGCAGAAAATGTAAAGTAGGCTGGAGTGGGGGTGTCCCAATTATTTATTGCTATGTAGCAAATGACCCCACAACTTGGCGGCTTAAAACAACATTTTATTATATTTACAATTTTGTGGATCAAGAATTCAGACGGGCTCAGCTAGGTAGTATTCGGGTTGGGATGTTCAGAGATGGAGGTTCCAAGATGGCATCACGCATACCTGCCACATTGACGGGGACAGCTGGAAGGCTGGGCTGAAATGGGCCCCTCTCCCTCTCCCTGTAGACTCTGAGTCTCTTCTGGTGGTCTCTCTAGAAGGGAAGTCATATGTGGCTCAGGCCGTAAGAAACCAAGGTGGAAGCTGCCAGTTGTCATAAAGGTTAGGCTTGGAACTGGCACAGCATTATTTGTGTCATACTTTATTAGTCAAAGTAGTCACGAGCCGGCCCACCCAGACTCTAGGTCAAGAGCAATAGATTCCACCTCTCAATGAGAGCCCTGGGAAGAGGGAAAAGGCTGAGCTGGAACTGCCAGGCAGAAGCATATGGTTCATGAGTCCTTGAGTCTGCTCGTGTTGGTTCTGGGTGGGGTTGCGTGGAAGAGCCATGAGAAGTAATGCCGGAAAGAGACATTTCCGATCAGAGCAGAGAGGTCCTTGGCTGCCAGCTTCAGCAGTTAGAGTTTACTCTTCTAGGTTAAGAGGAAGCCCTTGAATTCTGGAGCAGGTGGAATGAGTGAAGAACAGTTAGGCTGAAACAATGATGAATAAATGGCGCAGAGTTTTTCAGCTACAAAATCAGAGAGCACTGGGAGTTAGAAGTTGCTTAGGCTTAACAGCAGGTACTGATTTATATATCTTTTGATTTTTTCGGCTATATTTATTTCAATAACAACTTTTATAGTTTCTTCCACTTATTATGAAAGACACAGATTTCACCTTGGAAAATCCAGACTACAAACTTAGTTTTAAAATGGCAGGTGAGAGGCAGCCACCGTGGGGTCCTGAGCTGGGAATGACAGGAGGCAAGATCCTGACTTTCTATTATGAAGGGGAAGGAGGACGTGATTGGTTGTGTTGAGATGCCGAGATGCCAAGGCTCAGCAGAGGAACGATTAGGCAATGACAAACTTCAGGGTAGGCAGGCAGATTGCAAACCATACTGCTGAATACAGATGATAAAAAAAAAAAGCGTGAATATTTACTGAGTACTTACATGTACTTGGTACTATACTAAGCACTGTACATTCATTTAACCCTGATAGGCTAAGTACTTGTATCATTCCCCTAGGTGGATGAAAATGTGCGGCACAGAGAGGTTAAGTAACTTGCCCAAAGTCACACAGTAAAGAGTGGTGGAGCTGGGATATCAGCCTAGCTGTGTTCTAAACTACTTTTAACTACCAAAACTGGATATTTACTTTTACTTTTTGTATGTGCAATTTAAGTAGCTCTACTGTAGTTTATGAAGTTCTAGGTTACTAGAGCTGCCATTATATCATCTGACATGTTATTCATGCTATCCTGAACTCAGGGTTGTTGAAAGCAGCTGGCACATTTCTGTTAATGATTCCAAGGCCGGAGTCAGGGCAGAGTGAAGAGTCGGCCCAGTGTATAGAACTCCATTCCCCCTCAACTGGCAGGATGCAGACAGTGACTCAATGGTGTCTGTTAGGCTGGTCTCCCCTCCCCGCCACAGTTCAAAATAGTAATTATGATGTAATGTTTGTTTAACGTTTTTTAAAAATACTCGTGATTTATGTACTTAAAAATTATGTGAATGCACCCTGAGCACGATGGTGAAAGGTGCAATTTTGACATCAAAACAAGAGGGTGCATCGAATATTTAATTAAAGGATCAGATTAAAAAAAAGCAGATGCAATGTTGCTCTGATGGAAATGTGGTCTAACCCCCAAACCCAAGGCGTGAGAGAGTGGCAGGAGCTAGTATCATTTTTGAAAACAAAATACGGTTACAGACAAATTTGAGAAAGAATGCAAATTTACGGCCTATGTAATTTCAGGGCTGGTTTCTTTTAAAAAGAGGTTACTTATTAAAATGCAAGATGATTTATTTTCAAGATTCAAAAAGGCATATAGACTCTCTTTCAAATGTAAACTAGTGGAAGAAAAACTGGAAAGCTGTGTGCTCCTCCCTTGCTAAGAAAGGGTGTTTATTAGCTAGCATGGCAATGAAAAATTTAATACAACGTATGCAGTTTATAGCAGGGGACTGTGACTTTGGCCTTTCATCTGGGTTTGTAGCTCTGGCTCCTCTCAAAGATAAGTGAAAATCTTATTAGATTCTAATATTAATTTGTTATTTACCTATCACTAGACTACATTAAAAAAATCATAACTATACGAGTATTTCTATAACTTTGGGGGTAAATTAGTTGGTTTAAAGATTTTCCTCTTTCTTACCAGTGCTAAACTAAATCTTGGAAATTAGGAATGTGCTAATTTAACAATTTACACTGCAGGCCTGCTTCCTGGCAATATGATGTCAATTCAAGAAAGGAAAGAAGGGAAGCTACTTCACGAAGAGAAATCAACCCCCCTTTCTCCCTTGCTCTTTTTTGTCTTTTTGGTTTCTGAGCAATTGTCCCCAGGAAACCAACCCACTGACCGCTGTCAAAGTTTGATTCCTCTTTCTGGAGTTACAGCCTTCCTGCTCCTCCATGATGGCTCAGCTGGCTTTTCACCTTTGCTATCCACTTTCAAGATATTTTGAGTCTTAGGACCAGAGGAGCTATTGAGGTTTTTTCCCCTTGTCATCTTTTCTTCTTTTTTTGGTGGTGGGTGGGGCCAAACCAAGAGGGAGAGAGCAGGCTTGGGCCATCCCTGTTCTGACCCTCTGGGGCCATCTTCCTTCTGGCAATTCTCCTCCCCCATCTGTTTTCCTCTTGTTTTTGTTTTTAAGAAAGGAATTAAAAGCAGTCAAAAAAAGGAAAAGAAACAAAACCAAAAAATACATAAAACACCTCTGGAGTAAGGCCAGTATGGTTGAAAGTTACAGGAGTGTGTAGATTTCATATACTAGCCTGTAGATATTTACACAAGGGTCTCAAATGATGGAAGAAACTCATTATATGGCAATAGATGGTGTGGCATGAGAAGCTCCTCTCTAATTTTTAAATTATAAAAAGCTTCTTCATTTGGCAAAATGGAGCTCTGTTTTGGTTTTATTTGCTCAGTAACTTTCCCACTCTTTCAGTTCACCAATCTTTCACGTTGTTCCAGATGTTCAGGAGGGTGCTCTGGACAGGAGCTGAGGACTTGGGCCTTCCTGGTGGGGCTGCCATGCTCTTCCCACCTCAGGACAGAACGTGGTCCCCAGAAATGGCTTTGTCTCTTTAGGTGGGTTTTCCTGCAGCTTCCTGGGGCCTTCAGCAGTTCTGTCCAGGTGGATTGATTGAAGGGCACTCTCCAAGTTGATCTTCCTCTGCGCTCCCAGCGCTGCACTCTCCCAATCTTCCTCTGGATTCTGTTTTTTTTTTTTTTTTTCCATCTTCCCCTGGATTCTGATGCGCAAACTCAGAGGAGGAGCTGGGGATGTCTATGTAGTGTATTTTCTCCCCATCTTTATGATCCGTGCATCTTTATTCAGGTTGGACACCAAGTCTTTTATAAATTTCTTTTTATTGAAATATAATTTACACACAGCAAAATTTTGCACAGATCTTAAATGGCGTTTATAAGTTTTGACACATGTACATACCAATATATTTTTATTTCATTACCCCGGAAGGTTCCTTTATGCCGTTTCCCAGTCAATAGTTTCTTCATCCCCAAGGGTAGTTTTCCTATCCCCAGGCTTAGTTTTTGTCTTTTCTACAATTTCCCGGAAATGTAATCATAAGGTAAAAACTCTTGAGTTTGGCTTCTTTTTCCCAACATGTTTTTGAGATTCATCCAGGTTGTTGCCTGTACCAGTTTAAATAGGACCCAAGACCTCATTGACAGTGATAGTGTTAAGACGGGGACAATTGTTCTGCCTGTTGGGCTCCAGGACAGATACTCCCTAAATCCTGGTAAGAAGCTCTTTGCCCTTCCAAGTCAGTCTCTTTCCAGGGCCAAGCAAGTTCCTCTCCCAGATCCGCCCAAGCAGCCCAGGGCACCACCCAGATGGCCTTGGGGCGTCACCAGGTCGCTTCCCTTGAACAGCTGCCCCCTGCCTCCCTCCCCGCGTTAAAACTCAAAAAGGAACTGGCCCCTCCGCCGATCAGAATTCAGATTCGTTTAATTCCACGCATCCAGCTGCACACTGTGTTATGTTTTGGTGCTGATCACAGATATGCAGAATCCTTAAGAAAACATAAATAAAAAAAAAAGAAAAGGTGGTGGTGAGGGAAGAACCCAGATCTCCCGGGCAGTGGATATCAGCCTCCGTTGAGACAGGGATTCAGAATGAAATCTTTTCTTTTTTAAATAAACGGAAGAGTCGTTCTCCATTCCTCGCTCGGGAGGTTTCAAAGGTCGTCACATTGAAGCCTGGGGGCGTTCATCTCCCCAGCGGCCTGGAGGAGGGAGGGGGTTGGAAGGAGGGGGGAGGGAGCACACAAAAGCGGGCCTTGCCGAGAGGGCTAATGTTTCCTGTTTGCCTGGAGCCCCCTCCCCTCGGTCCCCTCCCCCAGCCCCCTCCCAGCACTCGGGCGGAAGTGAGTTTGCTCCTTTGGAGATTAAAAGGATTCCGAATTCCGATCAGTCCCAATAACCGGCGTACTGAGAGGAGGAGGAGGAGGAAGAGGCGGCAAAGCAGAGAAAGAGGGGGCGCGCGCGCGCAGCGCGAAGTGGGGGAGTTGCGCAAAGCCCCAGGAGGCCAGGGCACGGCGGGAGCAAAGCCCTGTAGGCGCAGCGCGGCCACCCGCGTCCCAGTCGGCGACTCGTTTCTGAAAGAAGATGACGCGGGGGCGAGCCAGCGGCGTTGGCCACGCGGCTCCCGAGCTCGCCGCGCGGGGCAGCTGCCGCCGGTTCCACTGATTCCAGCGCGCCCGGGAGAAGGCTCCGTCCCCGACGCTCGGGATCGGAGGGGGGGCACCAAGGCGAGGGCGAAATGGCCCGATGACAAAGGAAATGTGATCCCCCTTCGCTGCCAAGGTTTCAGAGAGGACGGACGTGAGGAGGAGGGGCGCGGGGCGCGCGCGGAGCTCGGATAGCATTGCACGACGGCCCGCGTTGAGCGGGCAGCGGGTACATCTAATATCTTCCTGCCGATGAATAATTCAGGGTGGCCCGCGGGGACTTGCGGCCCCGCGCTACAGCGCCGCTAAGGCGGAGGGAAAGGAGCGCGCGGGAGGCGCCCAGGCCAGGCGAGGCGGGGGCACGAGGGCCCCGGGCCCGCGTGGGGCGCGCGTGCGTGTTAAGCGCAGGCAGCCACGGCCGGCTGGGCGGGCGGGCGCGCGGGAGACTTGAGGCGCGTGGGACGCGCGTGCGTAGTACACGCGTGCGGCCGCGGCTGGGCCGCCACGAGCTACAGCTGCTGCAGGGCCA